TTTGCTCTAAACAATAAGTAAGGTGATATTTATAGTTTCAAGTATATTGAATGTAATGTGTCAGTAGTTAGCGTTTTTGTTTTTCCCTTTCTTTCTGTATCACCCTATTTAAGGACTGTGCTCCAGTTTTTGGAATCTTGGTGTGGCACCATAGGATAAGCACTCGACTTTAAGATTGGTTTGAACCGCAAGGTCAGTGGTTCAAACTCAGCAGCCACTACTCCGAAACCCTATACAAGGTGGCTATGAGTGGGAAATGACTCAGTACCACTTAGCAACAACAACAACTCCATAGCTTTGGCCCCAGGACACTGTCTCCTGACACACAAAAGCTACAATGCATGAATGCAGTGGAGAAGGCTCTACCTCCAGAGAAATGGTTGATGCCCTGAAACTAACTACATACGCTGATGGGCAAGGATTTCCGGAGTTTGCAGATGGATTGATATTTAGATGTAAGGCCTCTGATTGGGAGACCCACATGCTAGCTTTGACTAACCAACCAGGCTTGGATGGGGATAAATTTCCTGAGTTATCCTGAAGGATTATTTTTTCCCATTAAAGATATCTCAACTAGTCTTATTGAATGTATCTATTCAAAGTTTCTCTAGCAAGTCTCAGATTTTATTTGGCAGCAATGTATCCAAATTAAAATACATTGTTGGGTCTCTTAAAGGAGACTGCAGTGGCATGCAGTGACTTTGCTGTCAATAGGTAGGAGTAGGTGCATGTATTTAGTATTTAGTGTCAGTGAAAGTGTTTCTGGGAAAGTTGGATCGAGGATATTGACTTGTGGAAATGGCATTAATCACTGGCCTAACCGATTGGTCAATACTTCCTGAAACAAAGCCACTCATGGTGACTGTACAGTACAGAGTAGGACAGCTTCTTAGGGGTTGTGAGGCTGTAAATCTTTACGTGTGGATGGGGATGGCCTCATCTCTTTCCCACCCAGTGGCTGATGGGTTTAAACCACTGACCTTGCAGTTCACAGTCCAGTGACTAACCCACAGTGCCACCAGGGTTCCTTGGTCAATGATTAAGATATTTGAAAAAGCTCTGGAATCTTTCAAAGATGCTTGTTAATACAAATGGGGGAAAATAAGCTATTAGGAGCTCTTCCTGACCTAAGGTAGGTAGAGTTCAGTGGTTGTGTTTCCTCCACTTCAATGCTTACTAGTATTTGGAAAAATTAAATGTTATTTCCATGTCATGAAGGGAAAAAATACAATCAAATCTTTATTTTCAAACGTGGTTCTCCACCTTCCTTTGCCCTGACACATACACGTTATCATCTTTTAAAAATGTTTTCCTGATCCCTATCCTTGGAGTCCTGGTGTGGCACTGTAGGTGCTGGATTGTTAACCACAAAGTCGACAGTTCAAACTCATCAGCTGCTCCTTGTAAACCCTATACAGGATCTCTATGTGTTGGAACCAATTCAATGGCACTTAACAACAACAACAACATCCCTTTCCTACTACCCCTGTTCCCTACCAGTTATCTTTGGATTGGTTCTGTAAAATCAATTCTATACTAGTTAAACTGGGAGTGGGCATCTTGCCTGCTCTTCAAAATAACAAATGGAGTTCTCTTCTGAGTTTATGGATTGTCTTTCTAAATATGTGTGTTTGTCTACCCATGCTCCCTGCCCACCAATGTGCAGGACCACAAACTCAGTGTGAACCGGCAGGCTGGAGGTTCAAACTCACCAGCCACTGCTCGGAAACCCTATATAGGGTCGCTCACTATGAGTCGGAACTGACTTGACGACACTTAACAATGACAACACCCCCCTTTTATGAATAATCTTGTTTTAAACTCTAAAGTGTTAACTCCTGCGATAAACAGCTGAACTTTTGGCAGTGGGAGAACTGCTACTGTAGTCCTCCTTGTCAAGAAACTGAGTTCTGACGAAGCCTTTGTATAGAGAACTGCCAGCCTGGGAATTGGCAGTTCGGTGCTTATCTCATCGTAGTAAATGTTCATGTATGGCTGAAAGCAAGGCGACGAAATATCTGTTGAATAAATGAGTAATGAATGCAGAAATGAATGAGAAGGGATGGAGACCCAGCATGCCTTTTCTCACACCTCATACTGTTGACGAACCACAGCACCCATGCAGGCCTATTTGGAATCAGTCTGTAGTGGGGAACAAAGCAAGTGTTCCGTTGACAGTCTGAGTTTAAGTTACTCTCTTGGAGAAACTGATTTCTACGGCATGATGAGAAATTCCTTTTGTTCTTCAAGATCACAAGGTTATTAATATCCACTTATATTATTCTATAAGGGGTTCTGGTAGTATAGTGGTTATGAGCCAGGCTGCTAACCTCAGAGTCAGCAATTCCAAACTACCAGAGGCTCTGTGGGAGAATGATGAGGCTTTCTGCTCCTGTAAAGATTTATAACTTGGGAAACCCTATGCAGCATCGCTGTGAGTTGGAATTGACTCCATGGCACATAACCACCACCACCACCATTTTTCTGTGGAACATAAAAGATGTGGTCTTTATGTATCCTTTCTGAACAAGTTCTCTAGGTCTTGTGAGACCAGCAGTTTGGGATGTTATCATAGAGTGTGAAGAACCTATAAATTGCTTCTGTCCTCCATTATTATTTCATCACAATTTTCATGTAATCTTCATTTTTTCCATTTTATGCTTTCCAGATTTGAAAATCTTTCCAATAATGCCCTTTATGCATTCTAATGATATTGAATTAGTTGCTTTCTATCCAGCCTTGGTCTTTCTACAAAATGACTTTAAAAACCAATGAATCTAACAATTCTATCAATATGGTGTGATAGGAAAATGTTGGATAGCTCGTCTGATCTCAGAATAAGGGGGGAGGACAGTTAAAGAGAATTTTTTGCCCAAATTTCTTTTCTGTGCTTTCCAAATTTAGGTGGTCTAGATTGACAGTTGGGTGTGGTTTTAGCTTTCTCTAGGGCATGAGTCCTCTGACACTGAGTGTAAGGTCAAATTGACTGGGAATGGTGATACTAGAAAAGCTTTGGTCTTTAGGCACACAGATGAGATGGTAGCTGCCCATGGCTGGAATGAACGAGAGAATGGAATGAACAAGAGGCCACATGAATGAATGAAAATGATGAGTGTATTTTTTTTTTAAAGAAAAATATACAAATATACATCTTTTTTTTTGCTTATACTCTGTATTAAATTTCTACATATACACAAGACAAGCATTTTACATAGTCTGGCATTATATGCAATTCTATGATAAGCTATTTTGTTTTCTTGAGCATCTACAATCGCAATATATATCTATAATATCTTAGCAATACATTATAACATTTGTACTAGAGCTGCCAGAAATACTCTGTTTTCCATGTTTGTAAACAAAAATAGGAACAGCACTAGTAAACACTGTGATTGGAAAAATACCTTCTTTTCAACCCCCTTACATTCAGTAAAGGAGACATAAACTACTTTTTGTATCCAAAATACATTTTCACTGGGGAAATATAATTTTCTTTGGGTGCATTAAAAATGTAATCAGAATAAATTTATTGATTGTCTTTCTACAGCTTAATTGTTTCTGAAAGGCAGTGCTTTAAGATGACATAGATGGGACTTGAGATTTGGAGGGTTTCAATATATTTAATTTAGAATACAAACTAAATAATACTAACTCTGATTGTTGTTTCAAATTTACAAATCAATTTCAGGTGCCAATAATGATACTGCTTTAGTCATTCAGGGAGTTTTGAAGATCTTATACTTAAGTAGTAAAGAAAGACATGGGGATATCATATTGTGTTTTAAAGAGAAACTCTACTTTTATTTTAACACGAATTAGTATATAGTGAAATTTGTAGTATTAACTTCCCCCCTCCACCCCTCCTGTTATGCTAATAGCAAACAAGAGGTCAACTACAAACTGACTCTACTTAACCCTACAGAATCTTCCTGGCAAAGACTGAGTGAGATCTTGTTAAGCTTTGAAGCGGGTGAAAGGCAGTTAATGGATTTATATGGAGTCTTTTAATTACCAGTCTTAAACAAATTTATCTTGTACTGCTAGATAGCACCCAGGGGCAAGAGGTAATTTGCTTTATAAACCTTGGAGTGATTTGCTTTATAAATCTTGGAGTTTAGGAAAGTGGAAAACTGTCTTTATAAAGGGTATTTTCTTCCATTAGAAGTTATAGTTTTGTGAAAAATTTAGCAAAGGATTCTTTGTGACCTCCCTGCTTAGAAATGTCTTCCCAAAGCACATTTAAGGTGAAGGCCAATTCTTTACAGCAGTTAGGGCCTGCCCAATGGACAGGATTATCTAAGACCAAGCTGAGCCTACAGTACTCATAAACCAATTAACAATTGGTCCATGTAGTACTTCTAAGCAAATTGACTTTTAATTCCCTTTTCATTCCAAGCATTACATCTTCCTGCTAAACGCAGGTTGTTTTTCTTCACATTCTCAGTCATCTTTATTTTAGAAAGCCACCTTGCCTTACAGAGGTCGTGCTAAATTTTGTGCAGTTGGCATAGTGTAGATGGTAAAACATCTGAGGAACACCAGAGATGATTGAAATAAGAAAAATTTAAAAACCAGATCCATAGCCAAATACAGAAATATTCTAATTAAAAGTCCAGAGAAAAATATTGACAGTGATTTTAATTTCTCAAAGATATAAATGGCTCAAGATTGACACGGAGCACCCTGTATCTGAACTATGTCAATTTATTTGTGGTTTTCTTGGATACTCTGCTTGCCTTTCTATGGCATTCACATCTCAGTTCTGTATGAATGATGGAGTCCACAAGTGTTGCAGTGGGAGACTCCATTCCTAGACTGTCTCCCAAAGCAATAGTACCAAATATAACTTTCCTCAGATTCACTATGGACAAATTCACTTAATAATTCTTCACGAATGATATGTTCTGTTCCTGGGAGGATGGAATCACTTTAGATGTATGGTCTGTCTTTCCCCCAGGAAGTGAAGGCTCAGTGGACAAAATGCTGTTGTTACTTCACACTCAAGCAGACGATTCCTGCTCTATGATTTTCAGAGCGATGATCTCAGCACCCTCATCGCCATTTTCGTTGGCCGCTTCGTTTCTCGGCTCCTGATGGCAGATGTAAACAGGGATGTCGTGGCCAGACATTCCAGTGTTGTTAGCCGGACGGTTGAAGTTGCGGCGTCTCCAACGCTGGTCCCACTGGGTCTTATACTGTGCCCAATGGCGCTTCACCGTAGTTTGGACCTGGAAAAGGTAAAGAAACATTGTTTTCATATAACTGCCAGAAGTGAGCTGAGTAACGTTTATGAGCATGCTTCTTGAAGTTATCAGAAGTTAAAGGAGGTTGGAGTGTAATTTTGATTTAAAGAGGCTGTACTGTGGAACCAATATGACGGCACTTAATAACAACTGAAAGGAGCTCTGGTAGTGTAGTGGTTACGAATCGGGCTGCGAACCGCAAGGTCAGCAGTTCGAAACTACTAGCTGTTCCTTGGGATAAAGATGAGGTTTTCTGCTCCCCTAAAGATTTACAGCCTCAGAAACCCTATGCAGAGTCGCTATGAGTCGGAACCGACTCCACGGCACATAACAACAACAACAACAACAACAACAACAACATATTATAGTTGTAGAAGATGCTATCTTAGAAGAAGAAATTTGCAAACGACACAACTAACTTACTTGCCTAAACTACCTGCCATTGTTATTTACTAATCTGAGCAAGGATTTCTTGTTTATCTCTTATATCCAAGAAATGAAACTTAAATTGGCTTCATAGTCTATATAACATACATCTCCTATTAGGGAGAGAGGTTTAGTAAAATTTTCATATGCTAAACTTCCTGAGAAAGCAGACATTCTTATCTAAATCTATACAATATATATGTAAACCATATTACAGTTCTGGATTTTATGAGATTGGTCTCAGACTGGATCATGGTTCAAGATGGTGTGTGCCAGATAAAAGGCTTTTTCTGATTAATGGAGAAACACTGTATCAGAATAAAATTTCAATCTTCTAGTATGTAAACAAACTTACCAAACATGTCTTATAAATTTTAAACATATAAGAACATGACATACTATACTGAACATAAGGGTGGAGAAGTCATTCAAAGTTAGGAAGCTCTGTATTTATCATTGTAGTTAAGAAGATGAAGGATAGTTGAGAAATGTCTCTAGATTTTATGGGAATATTGAGGTGCCTGAAATTGTAGGAAATAAGGGATTTTTTTGACAAATTACTATTGAAGATCTCTGTAGTGAAGGAGTTGTTGTCGTTGTTCTTAGGTGCCATTGAGTTAGTACCAACTCACAGCGACCCTATGCACAACAGAATAAAACACTGCCCAGTCCTGGGCCAACCTCACAATTGTTGCCACGCTTGAGCCCATTGATGCTGCCACTTTTTGAGTGCCTTCCAACCTGAGGGGCTCATTTTCCAACACTGTATCTGAAAGTGTTTCTCTGCTATATATAAAGTTTTCAGTGACTAAATATTTGGAAGTAATTTGTCACTCCTTCTTCCTAGTCGTCTGGAAGCTCATCTGAAACCTGTCCACCATGGGTGACCCTGCTGGTATTTAAAATACCAGTGGCATAGCTTCCAGAATCACAGCAACTCACAAGCCACCGCGGTACGACAAACTGACAGACAAGTGAAGGAGTAGATACTAGAAGATCTGTTTTTCATTTATTAGCAGCATTCCTTTCAAACCCAACCCAGGAGTCAAGGGTCACAGTGGTAACCTTTGAATATCTGAACTGAAAAGAGGATTTGTTTCTTGTGATCATTTTCACAACCAGGAAAGCATCAACGAATGTTTGAGCACATGCCCCACAGACAGTATTCTCTGGGTTTGATTCCTAGTTTGTTTGCTGCATGCTTTTTGTTTGTTTAACGTAGAGTTTTCTCCTTTGTAAGAAGGGAACCCAACATAAGACTTGTTCAAAGAGCTAATGGTGTGAATGATTGGAATCATTTAAAGCATCTCGTGGCTTGTTACATTTCCTTCTTTTGCTCATGTGGCCCCCAAGGATTTTCCAGTCAATGTGACTGGTCAGGAGAGTCAAGTATCTCCTTTCAAATAGTTTCAGTCTCCTATCTAGCTTGGTTCTTTCTAAGGGCTATTTACTGGTTGGAAATTGACTCATTCAAGTGTCTTGTCTCCTATGGTTTTCTAAGCATACAAATACAAGTTGTAATATCAATAGATGGAGACAGATGGGAGGAGGACAGCTTATAAGAATTAGAAGAGATAGAGGTGAGAGAGAATGAAACAGTGGAGATTCAAAAGACTCAATTAGGACAATTTATCTAACTAGATTTAGTGCTGAATACCTTTAGTATTGACTAATTTATTAGTTTAACTGCAGACAGTGCATTTCCTCCAGGAGATAAAAAAAAAAAAATCAGCAGATAATCTCCTTTCCCCCCTTACTTATATCTTAAGAATATCCATGGTGGAGCATGGATTTAACTTGTATGACTGTAGGTAATTCCTTAGACAAAGCCAACTAACAGTTGTCATGGATACAAGACTATCCACATAACTAGAACTTACAAATGTATTTGGAAGTATTCAGGGTCAAGCTCTATACACTGGTGTGGCACTGTGTGCTAATGTACTGGACTGTAAGGTCAGTTTGAACCACAAGGTTGGGGTTTGAAATTCACCAGCTGCTCCTTGGAAACCCTATAAGGGTCGAGTGGAAACCAAGTTGATGGCACTTAACAACAGCAACAAGAGTCAGAATCAACTAGATGGCATAGCAGTAGCAGCAGGTTTTCTATTAATTAAGCATTGCTGGAATAGTAAAGTGTATTCTGCCTACAATAGCAGCATCACAATTGCGTGAGTTAGAAATGCAAATTCTCACTTCACACTTACCTGCAGGAAACCCTGCAGGTGAAGTCCCATCAGTAAGTGTTTTGACAAAGCTTCTAGGTGATTGTTATACATTCTCAACTCTAGAATTCCTGTTCTTGAACAAAGAAATCATTGCTTTGACTCTAAGAGATTTTCTTGAGTCTCTTGAAAGACAACCTTGAAAGCCAGGCTTTATTGAGTGAGAGAGTTTCTAAATAGATACCTTCTCTTCTCATATGTGATGAAAATCTAACAGATATGAAATAGAATTTTTACTAAAAACCCTTACTGTAGAAAAGCCATGGGATATGCCACAGGAAGAGTCCCTTACAGACAGAAAGGGGAAGCGGTGAGTGCACAGCCCTTGAGAGGAAGAGGAGATAGAGATGCATAGAGATCCAAATGACCTTGCAAATTTGGGGAAAAAGGGAAAAGGAAGAAAGCAAGAACTAATAGCACTACATGATAGCAGGTGTTTTCCTTTGAGTTCCAGAGCACAGTCAAGAAATGGAAAGCCCTGCAGTGAAATCCTATATTTGACATGACGCCCAAGTAGTGGCTATGGCAGCTACTGAAGACAACTTCACAGGACCAAAACACCAGCTGCTCCTTGGAAACCCTATACACGGTCACTATGGGTCAGAACCAAATTGATGGCACCTAACTACAACAACAACATACATCCTGGAAGGAGTTCTGATAGCATAGAAGGGGTTATAAGTCTGGCTGCTAACCTCAAGGTCAGCAGTTTGAAACTACCAGCTGTTCCTCAAGAGAAAGATGAGGCTTTCTGTTCCTGTAAAGACTTACAATCTCAGAAACCCTATTCAGGGTTCAGGGGCATTGTGAGTCAAACCGACTACACAGCACACCACCACCAGCACCATACACTGTGGTGCAAAATGAGAAAGGAACCAGAATTCCCAGGATCCACAGGGTCCTTGGGTGGCTCAAATGTTTCAACTCAATTGTTAACTAATAGGTTGGCAATTTGAAGCCATCCAGTGGCTTCCACGAAGATTACAGAAAAACAAAATAAAGCTCTAAGGAGCTAATTCTATTCTGTAACAATTGAAGCCATCATGAATGAGAATTGAGTCTATGGCAAGTGGTTTGGTTTTTGCTTTTTTTTCAGGTGAACTTGAGAAGTGTAGTGAGGAACAGGGCTGCAGCTTGGTCAAGGAGAATTCAGAGCACAAGGAACTTTAGATCCTTGAGAGGGGAGGGGCTCCACCAGGAACTTTAACTGTATATGCCTGGGAAACAATTGTGCCTTTAGATATGACCTTGAACAGATTGAATATTTTTCACTAAGAGACTGCTGTAAACCAGTAGAGGCTGGTGATGAAATATGTTTTTGAGAGCAAGATAAATTCCAAAACATAAACTAAGTGTTACATTTTTGTACAATTCATAAACTGAGATCCTTCTGATCATGCTACTTGGACATATAAATTATTTTACCCACAATACCAAGAAACATGGAAAAGGGAGAAAAATCCAATGTGTTGTTAGATGCTGTGGATTTCCAACTTATAGCAACCCTGTTTAGTGTTTCTTCTGGGGATCAGAAAGCCTCATCTTTCTCCTGTGGAGTAGCAGATGGATTCTAACTACTGACCTATGGTTAGCAACTCAACACAAAACCCACTGTACTTCCAGGGCTCCTTTGTGGTTAGCAGTCCAGTGATTATCCTACAGTGCCACTAGTGCTGCGATGTTTTGTTATCTGCCATTGAGTCCGTTCCAACTCATAGCGACTATAGAGTTTCTGATGCTGTAAATCTTTCCAGAAGCCAAAAGCCTCATTTTTCTTTCACAATGTTATTACTTTCTAAACATATGTTACTTTGGGGAACAAATTGTGTAAATTTATACTTGCAATCTTTGCTTTTTTGATGTCTCTTAGTTACCTAAAATCAGACTCCTGGTGTGAAGCTGTAGGATCAGCACTGGACTGCAAACCATGAGGTTGGCAGTTCAAACTCACTGGTGCTCCTTGGAAACCCTATATAGACTCACTAAGAGTCAGAACCGGCTGATGGCACTTAACAACAACAACAATAAACTCCCTAAAATCTACTGAACTATTTGGGTTGTCAGTGTTCACACACTAGGAAGAGTTGTTCTAGGGAATACTTGATGCATGAGGATGGTTTCATGATCACCTACTGATTCTTATTATGTTAATTCTTTTCCAGTCCCCCCGCCCCACCATTGTACCAATACCTGATCCACTTGCTTTAGTGGAGTCACTGATAACATACTGATACTAAATCAAAAATAAAACTGCCATTTCACCATTATACAAATGTCTTACTGGTTCCCTAGTTCACTGCTAAGACTTCATATTCAGCCAAGCCAAGTTCCCATCATAACTCTCAGCTGAAGCTGGAAATAACTCCCTGCATGTGTGAAGGCACTGCCTGTGCTTAATGCTGTAAGGCAATAGGTTCACAGGATGCTTAGTGGAGACCCAGAAGCCGAAATCCCTATGACTGTGATGTTACTTGGCACAGGACACAATTTCTATATTATGGGAAATGCCACACTTCCTCCAATAGCAAGAAGTTATCTTCCCCCAGTTGTTGTTGTTGTTGTCAGGTGCCAGTGAGTCAGAACCAACTCATAGCTACCCCATGCACAGCAGAACGAAACAATGTCCAATCCTGGGCCAACCTCACT